ATCCTGTCTTTTTCAAGGTTATTTATTTTCAGCTTTGACCAGGCCATGCAGGATATTAATTTTCAAAATCCTCCTGGCCCCATCAGACAATCAAATGGTCATCCCCTTATAAATACTCTGCCTATACATATATTTTGGCATTGTACAAGGTCATGCTTTTTTTAGAATATTTCTACACTGAATCCGTTTGATGTGTACTGATTTGTAGTTTTAGTGAGAAAATATTTTTCATTTATTAGCAGTATGTTATTGTGTTGTGTTTCTGGATAGCTGTTCCGAGTTGGGGAGGCTTGAGTGACCACAGACATGTTTTGACCACCATGCAGATCTTTTGCTTGGCTGTCCTGGCCCGGGATTTAGGGATTCCGTTGTTGTCGCTGGTTGATGTTTAACATAAAACAATAGACATAAAGTACCGTTTTAACTGAGGTCTGGGATAATTGTGGGATAGGATATGGTAATAAACTTGAAAGTTTGCAGCTATAGAAGCTAGATAGCTACTGGTTTTCCTATATTTACAAGAACTGAAAGTCTGTATGAAGAAGATGGTGGGAAACTTAAGCTAACAAGAGGAGACGACGAAAATAATTTAATTTAAGATCCAATTAAAAAGGCTAAATACTATAAACAAAGATGCACTATTTATATGGACCGAGGAAACTAAATATAATTCTAACTCAATAAAGATGCTATTCATCTTTCTTAAATCATGACTTTTTCAGAGTCAACATAATTGCTGACGTATCTTGTCTTTGTGGGTGCAACATTGGGACTGTACACCATTTCCTTTTCGACTGTTCTAAGACTTTATATATACAGACCAGAGAGAAATTTTAATGAACAATCTAACATGGCTCCCTGAATGTTAAGTTACTAACATCTGGTAATCCGAACCTCTCGTATGAACAAAACATCCTGAGATTTAAACATGTAATCGAGTTTATTAAAAGGTCTGAGCGATTTTTTGTCATATGATACTGAATAGTATTTGCGGTAGATTCACAAAATCATCATCATTTAGTTGCCAATTTTTCCGACATAACAAAACATTAGGTCACCTGACCAAACCCATCATACATCATTGGCCCATACAATATATGATTGACATTTTCAGAAAGTATTCTGCGCTATACTGCGAAACGTATATATTTCGTATATATTTACTTGAGTCCAATCCATTTTACTTTGACTAAATAGAATATGTTTAAACTAAACCGATTTAAGAGTAATCGCAGTTACTGAATGAAATTTCAATTACAACAAACACATAACTCATGTTTTCTTTTAGTTGTGTATTTATTCTTTACAGTTGGTGAAATGACAACAAAAGACAAAGAATTCATATGTGGTCCGTGCGATTATCTACATACACCAAAGACGGCTGTTGTATGGTGCCCGACATGCGAGGAAGGACTATGCCACGACTGCAGCGTCCACCATATTGCAGGAAAATTGACAAGAGATCACAAACCTATAAATATTGATCACTATAAAGAAATGCCTAGAAAAATGATAGAAGAGGTTAAGAAATGTTTGAAACATGACGAAATTTACGAATTGTATTGCCAAAACCACAAAACTCATTGCTGTGTTCAATGTGTGAAGGAAATACATGCAAGATGCACTGGTGTTACACTACTCCGTAAAGTAATTGAAAATATCAAGACTTCCGCTATGGTTACTGAAATCATGCAAGAGTTAGAGAACAGAATGGGAGGGTTAGTGAAACTTACAGAAAACCGAAAAAAGAATGTTGATCGAATAGATAAACAATCATCTAATTTGTGCGCTGATTTTCGGCGCATGCGCAGGGCAATTGAAAGTGCGCTGGAAGAATTTGAGGGTGCATTGAACGAGGAGGCAACATCAGTCAAGAACACACAATCCTCAAAGGTAAACAATTCTATTGATAAAATAGGGGCGCAAAAGTCTGTATACAAAGAACTGCATTCGAATCTTCAAAAGGTGATAGCATACGGAAATAACTTACAAGTGTACTTAGCGGTTAAAACTATTGAAGAAAAACTTAGTAGAGGAGATAAGGAACTTGAATCGCTTTTGAAAACGGCAAGTGGTTTTCAAGAAATAAATGTTGCTTTCGAATGTAACGAACACTTATCTTCGCTGCTTACTAAAGACGTTAAACCCGGAAGGGTTATGACATCTTGCTCACCATTAGAATGCGATTTTAAAGTACCACACGGCAAAGAAGCACAAATATCATCACCAAACACGGGAACTACCGTGTCAAAATTGAATATCAAGACATATGTGCAAACATTCGAGGCACAACTCTCTTTATCCTCAACAAGTAATAAAACAAACATTTCGAGCATTGTCCCATTGCCCTCCGGACAGACGGTCATAACAGATTATGGAGGTCAACAAGGTGTTATGCTTTTTCACCGAAATGGGAGTTTCAACACCAGATTTAACAACCTTGGCATTCCATATGGGGCGTGTTTGATTGGTGATTCTGTTCTTGCTGTATCGTTTCCTTATAATAATAATATAAAGTTACTAGAAATAGTCGAATCAACATGCTCAATACTGAATACTTTTAGGATAAACCAATCATGTTATGGATTATCATTTAATTCGGCGGGAAACATTGTCGCGGCTAGCGCAGAACCCGATAACGGGATTATTGTCGTGGGATTAAACGGACAAATTCTAAAACGTGTAAATCTGAATTTGCCAATGATCAGAAATGTTCATTGGTACAGAGACAAAATAATCGTAACCGAATTTGAGTCGACTGAAATGTTGGTCTTTGATCCTGAAGGAAGGAAAGTAAAAACACATACTTTCGATTGGGAACCAGATACAAGGAATATATGCGTTGATAAACACGGTAATATATTTGTTTGCGCATTGCACACAGAAAAAGTAACAGTAATTTCAAACGAGGGTAACATTAGAGTTGATGTATTGGAACCTGATGATAGACTTCACATTCCAAAAGCAATAGCTTATGACAGGAGAACCAATACAATTGCAGTTGCGGGTAGAGATGGGCTATTTTCGGCAATTTACGACATTTTTTATAACTGAGGCTAATACAAACAAACAAGTATACATGCACATCAAATAATAAAGCACAAATTTAAATTAGTTTTTTGTTTGCATTGATAACATATTAGGTTTTTATTGAAAAACACAACATCAAATCAAAACAGGTTACTAGTATATAATTTCAAAGAAGTACCTGATATTTTACGGTCAGAAATATCTTCATATTAATAATCCGGTTTTTGCAATCATTGAGAAAAAGCTACTGCAAATACAATTCTAGGAGCCTTTGAAATAGTAATATATAGAACTTTGTTTAAAGAAAAGAAATTCTGTCATCCATATTATGCAAAAATCAATTTTTGTATACACTTTATGAGTTATTGAAATTTTGAAGCGTGATCAATCTTTTGTAGTCTTTTTTTTTCTCTTCAAAACATTGTTAAAGGCTTTGGACTAGCTTTCAATAGATGCTAGTACTCTAATAGATCGGTACTTGTGTCTTTTGTTTTTATGCCAGTGTTTTCTGCTCCGTACCTATTTGTTAAGGTACGTAATTTCCCACTGATTTTTACACCCTATTCTTACATTGTGCTGTTACACCACTTACTCAAGTTAGGGGAGGATTTAGCACTTAAAACATGTTTAATCCCGCCATATTCTGTATGTGTCTGACCCAAGTAAGGAGCTTGTATTCTGTAATTTAGTGGTTGTTGGTTGTTGTCAGTCATATTTCTTTTCGTTAATCGTTTTATAATAAATTAGACAGTTAGTTTTCTCGTTTAAATTGCTCCATATTTTGTCATGCCGGGCCTTTTTTTGACTGACAAAACGGTGTGAGTTTTTCTCATTGTTGAAGGCCATGTCAAAGTGGTGACGTTTAGCTGCTAACTTTCACGTCATTTGGACTCTGGTGGAAAGTTATCACAGTTGTCTCATTGGCAATTGTCTTATTTTTATATTTAATATTTTGTGACTGGTCATCCATGCATCTCACCCGACAATATCAGGAATTGCTGGTTTTATGGTTTATCGAAGCTGTTTTGATTAAAACCCTTTCCATATTAACACCTTATAATACTAATTTTATTATTTTCTTACAAGATTCATCGAAAAACTCATGATGGAGCATATATTACAATTGTTTAAAATTATATCCGTGAGTTAAACGTCACGTGGTATTTTTAACATCTATCTTTATGCGAATCATTTTCCTTGGTGACTTGTAGAGGCGAACTTAGAAAAAGGCACACACGGCGCAACCGCCTACAATCCGAAAGATGTCAATTTGTTTCCCGCTCGGCACAAATGATAAAGTCACAATCGAGTCATTTTGAAAGGGGGGATCTTACCCCCGGAACACCATGAAACTTTCACATAATTTAACTAAAAGTAGAATAAAAAAAATCGAAAAGAGGAGGGGTTCCAACCCCCCCCCCCCCCCACCCCCATCCTCCACCCCCCCCCCCCTTGCATTCGCCAATGCAATCCCACTTACCTCATATCCTAAGTTTCAACACGGTCCTCCAGGGAAGTATTTTAATTTGATATTAATTTACTAACTTCTTTAATAAGGATAGGACAAAGGGACAACAATGTACTAAAATTGAATGTGATATGCCCCGGACGGTAAATGTAAGTGAGATAATAACAGGCTTATAATTCGGATGAAGTTCCCTAAGGTTACATAAAACTCCCCTGTTTCAGTGATGCTCTGGATCGGCTACTGATGAATAATGATATAAATAGAAATTACCTGCATGTTTTTTTTGTAATCAAAAACAATAAAGATTTGGAGAAATGTAAGGAAAGTTGAAATAGTTATATCTTTGAAAGGGGGATCTTGATTTACTTTCTGTTTTCAAGGTAGTGACTTGAAAAAAATCAGAGAAAGTCATATATTTCCTCCTAACCCCACAACCACCACCACCAATGAAAGAAAATAATGAGTCGCTTATATCATAATCACTATGCTATTTAAAAGGGACACAACCTCTACCTATTTACATTACCAACACCATCACGATTTCTTCACCGGCTACATTGATGTGTTATCTCTAAACAAGGATCTGGAAGAATCAGGTAAAAGTTTAAAGCCCCGTATAAAATCAACACAGTCACATCTTTTTCAAAGGCACAATTTATTTCTTCAAAATTGATATAACTGCACTCACACCTACATTGTATATCCTCGAGCCTATATCATGCGTACGGGTCAAGGAAAACAAACATAATTTAAAATCATCATGTAATGCATTAAATAACACTTACAAAGTATATAAATAGACGAATTAACTCTTAACTTTTGACAATACTAAAGATCGACTGTTTATAAGTCAGAGTCAGCTGGGTTTATTTTAAGCTTTTTTGTTATCTATATCGTTTGTGTATCTGAATATTTACTTCCTGGCTGAGATTACGTAATGTTCAAGGCCGTACAATTCATTGTAAACTCAAAGTTGCATAGTGCCTCCCGCGGCCTCACCAAAAATATTGGGATTAATAAATGAGTTTACAAAGACCATATTTATCCTTTTTTTTATGAATGAAAAAAACTATAGGCATACATGAGTCTAATGCACAGAGTTCACCATAAAGTGATATGGCATAATGCTCTGATATGGACTCAAGATGAACATGGTAAACAGGCATACCAATAATGAGACAATTATTTGATGAAACATGTATAAATACAGGTGCTGTAGAATGGACCCCCTTTATTATATTTATTGTATTTTTTTTTCTATTAAAATATTCTTTAATATTTTATCTTATTTTCACTTATTGAACATCCATACATATTACAATAACAGAAGTATATACTAGTATATACATGATGCCCTCGTGTTCTTATTTTCAACGAGGAAAGCGGATTTTTTTTCGCCCAGATTCTCGTTCACAACGAGTCGTTTCGCTCAGGATCAGTTCGCCCCGATTTGAACAAAAAATTATTTTGGAAGTAAATCTCATTTAATCTTTCATTTAAAAGGTATATTTAACAAGATTTTTAAGTATAAAACGGTTGATTTCCATTATCACTAATTTCCTTTCTGATACCGCGGTTAAAATGGTATGTTGAAGTTTTGCGTATTTAATTATCGCATTGCAATGCAGCAACCTCAAGATTACAAATCTCATGTCAAAATAAGAAATAATCACATAATACATAGAGCAAGTCACATAAAAAGACGTATATACTTACCATGCGGTTTTAAACTGACCGACCGTGCGAGGGCTGAACAGCCAGTCAAGGTCGTTAAACACTTCCATTTGTTTGTCATGCGGTTTTCATAATGACACACTAGATGTAGCATTTTCCAGTCTGAATTCCCATAAAAAACTTATAAAATCGGGGCGAAATGACTCATGGCGAACGGGAATAGGTCGAAACGATCGTGATTTTCAAATTTCACCTAGGTATATATTTTTTATCATTGCAGTGGGCAAAATGACAACAGAAACACAAGAAATCATATGTGGGCCGTGTGACTTTCGAGAAATAGCAAAACTAGCAGTCGTATGGTGTCCGACTTGTGATGAAGGATTGTGCGACGAATGCAGCGGCCATCATAGAGCAGCAAAGGCCACTAGAGGCCACCAGTTCATAGATAGTGATCACTATAAAGAAATGCCTAGAAAAATGATTGAAGAGTTTAACAAATGTCCCGAACATGATGAAAAGTACGAACTCTTCTGTCCAAAACATGCAACTCATTGTTGTGTACAATGCGTGAAAGAAAAACACGCAAAATGTACCGGAATAACACTACTCAAAAAAGTCATTGAAAACATTAAGTCTTCCGTCACGGCAACTACAATAATGCAACAAATAGAAAAAAGAATGGAAGGACTGAGTAAACTAACCAAAAATCGGGTGGAAAATATCAATCGAATAGATAAACAGTCGTCGGAACTGTGCACTGATTTTCGGCGCATGCGTAAGGAAATAGATCTTGTGCTAGATGAATTTGAGAAAGAATTGAGCGAGCAGGTAATATCAGTCAAGAACACACAATCCTCTATCGTAGACAACACCATTGCTCAAATTGCTACACATGAGTCTGTATACAAGGAAATGTATTCGGCTCTTCTTAAGGTGCTAGCATACGGAAGTAATTTTCAAGTATACTCAGCGATTAAAAAGATTGAAGAAAAACTTATGAATGAAGATAAAGAAATTGAATTGTTTTTTAAAAACGACAATGGTTTACAAGAAATAAATATTGCTCTCGAATGCAGCCAACAGTTGTCTTCTCTGCTGACTGAAGACTTTTCACTCGCAACAGTCAGGACATCTAATTCCACTTTAGAATGCGATTTGAAAATACTTGACAACCTGGAAGCACAAAATCTATCAACAACCGCCAGGACCACCGTGTCAGAATTGAACATCAAACAGTATGTACAGACACGCAGGTCAACTATTTCTTATATCTAAATGATATAAACATTACTAGTATCGTCCCGTTGCCTTCTGGACAGACAGTCATTACCGATTATGGAGGTAATCTAGGTATCCTGGTGTTCAATAGTGTTGGTGGTTTAGACACCAGTTTTACTAACCTGGGTACTCCGCATGGGGCATGTTTGATAAGTGATTCTGTTGTTGCAGTGTCGTTCCCTTTGAACAATAATATTAAATTATTACAAATAAACTGGTTGACTTGTACAATAAAGAAAACATTTAAATTCAACCAAACGTGTTTTGGTTTGTGTGTGAATTCGGAAGGAAACATTCTAGCCGCTACAAGAAAACCTGATGACGGTTTAATTATCATAAATTTAAACGGAGAAATTTTGAAGCGTATTTGTGTAAGACTGCCATCGATCAATTATGTGCAATGCGGCAAAAACAAAATAATTGTAGCCGAACTCGAATCGAATGAAATTTTTATATATGACCACGAATGTAAGAAAAATATGCAAACATTTACCTTCGAAGGCGATTGTGATACCAGGAACATCTGCGTTGATAAACACGGCAATATGTTTGTTAGTGCACTGAAGGCAAAAAAAGTTACCGTAATTTCAGAGAAAGGTAACCACAGGCAAGATATTTTGGGACTGACGGATGGATTTTGTTGTCCAAAGGCAATTGTTTATGACCCGAAAAACAATACCATAATAGTTGCAGACAAAGACGGGCAGTATTCTGCTATTTTTGACATAGTTTACAAGTAGATTTTTACAAACAACAAACGATAATTTTCCCAAGAGACTATATACCAGGTTTTATTGCAATATTGCTTTTCTTGTTAACATCGTAGAGGACCCTTGTACTTTGGGACATACAGATGTCGTTTAAAAAATTGGGAATATTTGAAATAAAGGTATTGATAAACATAAAAAGAAATGACCGAACTTCTCTATTTAAAAAATACTTGTTTAATATTTTTCAGTTTTATATGATTGATTGACAGATTGATTGTTGTTTGCTTAACGTCATTTTAAATTTCAATCTCCCGAAACAAGTGTCCTCACTTACAAAGCAGAAGCACAACAAAAAATTAAAACAACAAAAAGACCACAAAAAATAATAAAAAAAAATAAAAATAAAAAAAAAACGTTCTTAACTGTTGTAGTGCTCAAAGACAATTAAAAAATACACGCACACACACGAAAACAAAACCGTTAGAAAAACAACAAAACCAACTGGTGAGATGAGGTTAACAGAAAAGTACCTATAACATTTCTTAACTTAGTTTGTTAACTTCGGTAATCCCGCTGATTAAACGATTTGAATCAACAATAATAACTTGTTTTTTTTTAAAGATAACCGGTAATACGTAAAATTTGTTCTTATATACATGACAACACCTACTGTTTCAAGAAAAAAGCTAAAGAAAATTATTGCACTACTATTTAAAATGTTAATCATTGCTACAAATATATCAGAACAATATAAATAAGAAGCTGTGGTATGAGTGCCAATGAGACAACTCTCCATCCAAGGTCTGGAAAAACTGCATAGTTACGCAAAGATTCTAAAGCTATTTCCATACACAAATTTTCACAATGCTCCGAAATCTTCTAAATATATTAATACATGTATAGCATGTTGCGGAATAATTTACATTTGTACATATAAAAATTAGATGATGATGTATGATTACCAATGAGAAAACTCTTCACCAGAGACCGATACCCTGGTTATAAAAACTTACTTTCGCTGCATGTGGATATGTTTGCTAAATAAGACGAAAAAGTGCTTTGAATACTAGTACACAATTTTGATAGTGGTATCTATATAATGTTAATAGTGGTAAATATATGATGAGTTTATATATTTAGATCTACACAATCCTTAATTTTTTTTTTCAATTTGCTGTGTTTGTTTATCCTTTAACCTTATATTTTTCATCAAGAAAATTCACTTTTGAGGTAGAGAATTTATAGGTATTGTTACTTACATATAAAATTATACACCACAGACCTTTACGAATTCACCAGCTATAACTTTTCAGATTTAAGCTACACAAAGCGAGGAGTTTCTCTGATGGAGCAAGTATATGGAAAAAGGTAGAGTTGGGTGATATGTCAATGTGACAGCAACCCCACAGAAAAAATAACAAAAAGACATCAAAAGGTAACATACAGTCTTCAACGGTAGGACATGTGTCTTCACAATATGTCTTAATTGTTATTGTAGTGGTTATGGCACTGCCTTATTTTCCCCTGCTTCCTAGACCCGCTTCCGCCTATGAACATTTCTTCCCGAGGTAGAAGGCAGGCACATTTTCTCCCTGCCTGTCAGAGAACCGCACTCCGCCTATGAGGGCATTTGAATGTTTGAAAATAGACTTTTGACATCTTCATTTCTTCATAGATATAAGAAGATGTGGTATGAGTGCCAATGAGACAACTCTCCATCCAAGTCAAAATTTATAAAAGTAAACCATTATAGGTCAAAGTACGGTCTTCAACACGGAGCCTTGGCTCACACCGAACAGCAAGCTATAAAGGGCCCCAAAAATTACTAGTGTAAAACCATTCAAACGGGAAAACCAACGGTTTAATCTATATAAAAAACGAGAAACGAGAAACACTTATGAACCACATCAACAAACGACAACTACTGAACATCAGATTCCTGACTTAGGACAGGTGCAAACAATTTCAGCGGGTTTAAACGTTTTAATGTTACCAAACATTCACCCTTATCTGAAACAATAGTGCAACATCACAACATAGAAAGACACACTATAAAATATCAATTGAAATAGCTTAACTCAATCAAAAGACATATTAACACCAGTGAACATACACTGAACAAATAAATTTGATCTATGATACAATGTAAATACAAAAATAAATAAACTAAGGGAAGAATAATAAAAGTAACATGTTATACCGCTGTGAAATGTTAAACAATTTAAGAAAAACAATATGTTTGAACAAAAATATCAGCCATTTGCAATTACTTAAAACACAGGTAAATGAAAAATAATTTAGATGTTAGGTATACGTGTACAGTTCAAATAAAGAAAGGAAATATTTTTAATAAAAAAATAATTTTGATGTTCATAGTACGAAGAAGTGAAAATTTATAGTGATACCAAACACTTATCAAAGCTGGTATATAGACCGTATTTGTATAAAACATTTGTTCTTTTGTATGGGAGAAAAACTCTTATAGTCACTTTTGACCTAAACTTATTTTGTACCGCCTCGGTGGTCTCGTGGTCGTGTGTTCGCCTCGATTAATAAAGATAAAAAAAATGTGTGTTCGCCTCGAGTGCGTGAGGTCGTGGGTTCAAACCCCGGTAGGGTCAAACCAAAGACTTTAAAATTGGTATTTGCTGCTTCTCCGCTAAGCACGCGGCAATAAGGAGTAACAGCAGAGACTGGTCGGTTCGGAGTCAGAATAATGTGTCCGGGTAGAGTTACATGTCTTTCTGTGGACTGTAACCTATAGTACGTCAAATAACCGGCTCAGTGTGTCGGTCCAGTACACAGCAGGGTTTATATTTATATGTTCTCATCCGGAATATACATTTAATTTGCCGCTGGATGATAAACAGCTATCCATCATAATCTTTGAGCCTCCTCATGGGGTTTTTGATTATGTGATTACTTGGCCGTTTTTATAGTGATTATTTGATTACCAGACCAAATATTTCATGATTATTTGATTATTTGATAATCTAGGACTATATTTATGATTATTTTATTATCTTGTTTAAAAAAATAATTAATGATTATGTGATTATATTGGCAAAAAATTGTGATTATGTGATTACTTGAACACCCCCATGAGGGGCCTCATCTTTCTTCTTTTGGTTATCGGGTTAATATCTTACACCTCTATCAATGTATAATTCTGTTTTGACGAAATAGTTGATATGCTTTAAACGTTCAATACTAAAATGAAGAAGGTCCACAAAAAATCTAAATCGCATTTGAAACCATCCCCCTTTATACTCAAATCTTTGAATTTAAAATTTTGAAATAATGAATCGACGATAGTTATATTTTCGTTAGATACACATATTGTGTATTCGTTTGTGACAACATTTCACTGATATCTTATTTCAAGTTGAAAGGACTTGAAGTCTTTTTGTTTATTGTTTAAAATTTATTGGTGCATTAGTTTAATTCAAATAAACAACTATTGATTTGTTTTAAAGAATGTGGGTTGAAACAAGTTTATAACTTTTCATGCATTTATACCAAATATAAATTTGACTTTAAAAGCTTTAAGATTGTGTGCAACGGCATTTGTGAGGTTCGTATATAACTTTTTAATTTTGTTGTTGAACTGATTTCGTCATTTTACATAATTGCATCTGCATTATTTTTTATAAAGGACTAAAAACTAAACGATTTTCCCTCAGCATTTTTTCACGGGCGGTTGGGGCATGGACTCTCTTTTCGCCTTTTCTTTTTGTATTTAAAACTCAAAATTAAAATTTCTTTATAATAATTCAACTTATTTCCATTAAAGAAAATTTAAGAAATATTCCAAAACACAATAGAAATAATAGAAAAGGGGGGTGGTGGTCCATGTTCCCAAATTTAACAAATATCAAGTGATGAATGAAAGTGCATAAACTTCATCATCTTTGCACTTAAAGTCGACGGCGCTCGGGACATGTACCACTCTATTAACAATTATTTTTGTTTTGTTACAACAGCCCTATGAGAATAAACGAGGTTGGGAACATTTTTTATATTTTATTTTTTATTTATGTGTGTGTGGGTGGGTGGGGTTTGAGTTCGTAATAGTTTATATTGTTGTTGATTTGTCATTGAATATTTATGAGGAAGAACACATAAAATATTAACAAACATTAGATAAACTGAAAAAAAAATGTTATAGAAATGATTCATCGGAAGTTCACAATTTCCTATATGCTAACTAATTTTGCTTCTCTTTCTGCTCAGGCTTTAATGGACCTCTTCATGTTAAATGTTATATATAAGTTAAAATACATGTTTTCCATCACTCTTCTAATTTCACATTAAAAAAAATCATATCTGCCGTTTAAAAAACACTGTATAAGAGAATTGATAATGGATATTCCAACTTAATTAGTTTAAAGGAGACTTCATATCTATTACATAAAATAAAAATGTTCAATTTTGTATTTATTTCAGAACTTTGATATTTCAAAATGGCTGCTGTTTTGAAAGCGGCGAAAGAACAATTGATTTGCCATCTTTGCAAACAGATATTGGTAGAACCAAAAACTTTGAATTGTATGCACTCGTTTTGTAAAAAATGTATTCAACAATACATGGAACATACGACAAAGGGTCAGAAAAGCCCTGCCGGATTTCTCTGCCCAGACTGCAATAATGTTATGCCACTAGGACAACTATCAGGTAATACACCCGAGGCGTGGGCGAGTGAACTTCAAACGAATGAAGCGTTATCTAGTATTCTCAAAGCATTTGAAAATTCAGGTGAAGAAATTGCAATGAAATGTGCATTTCACGCAGAGAAAGAAGTTGAATTTTATTGTGAGGATCATGAAATGCTACTTTGCTCATTGTGTGCTACGTTAACACACAAGCCATGTACCGACGTTGTCACTATTCCTGTAGCTGCTGCGCGACGAAAAGCAGATGGCGGGAAGTTTATTAACTTCCTTTCGGAACAAATAACAATGACCGAGAAAATTTTAAGTGATAGAAAAGAACAGCTGATTACTCTTGACAAATCTGAAACCGAAATAAAAAATCAGTTGACCCAGATAAAGAAACGTATGATTGATTATCTTGATTCAATGGAAAGTAAAATTATACAGGAAATGACGCAGCGGAAGATGAAAGAAATGCATGCGTTAAAATCTGACCTTGACATTTGTAATGGAATACTTGTCGATGCTACATCATCCCTGAAAACCATTCAAAATTCGATTGATAAGGATACACCAGCTGGCTTCATTATTCGATTTAAAGACCAAGTGCAAATGTTTGACGAGAGACAAACTAGACTAGTAAGACACGTTCAAACGCTGAAGAATGTGAAGCTAACATTTCTCCCTAATCGACCGCTCGAACAAGCTGTGGTACAAGGAAAACATATCGGTAGTTTGAATACAGAAAATTTTCCAAGTCGCTTATCCCAGGTTTATGCGAAAGCTGCTCCGATTGAAACACAACGGCCTACACTTACCAGACAGGGAACGAGCAAGGCACGACCATATTCTGGTGTTTCCTCTGCGGCCCCTACACCACGCTCGGTCCGGAGTACTACAGACATGCCGTCTTTCCGGAAACCAAACGTTCCCCGTCAGATCCGTTCTCGGGGACCTAGAGAATATTCTAAACAAGAGAATGAAACAAAGTCTGTCATTTCTGATGTCTCTTCGCGAATTTCTGAGAAACCAGCTAATGACCTGACGCAGTCAAAGGCCATGGAACTCTCCTCTGTAGATGGAAAAACAATTACTGCTAAGTTCAAGAGCGACTTCATCGCTTCAGTACCTGATCAAAAGGAATGTTCATTAGAAGGCGCAGCCATTTTGAAATCTGGTCACGTGGTTTTGTCCGATTCATATCACAGTTCTCTTAAACTGTTCGATCCTAAATTTGCATATATTGGGTTGATAAAGTTTGCCACATCACCAGGCGATGTGTGCGCAGTCGGTGATAGCGAAGTGATCGTCTGCTTACCAGACACAATGCGTCTGAAACATGAAAAAATTGAGAACAATAAAATAGTACCAGGCGAAGTCCTTACGGTCGGTGACAAGTGTCATTCAGTAGGCTATAATAACGGAACTCTCGCTTGTTGTTCTGGTCGTACCATTCACGTGTTTGCTCGTGACAACCATTCATGGCTCCGAGTCTCTACAACGCCAATGGACGCAGATAATCTGATGTATATTGCTGTCGATCCGAATGGTGAAAGAATTGTTGTAACTAGAAACGGATATCCGAACCGCCCGGTTGTCTGTCTTACGAAAAATGGCCAGAAAGTATGGAGTTACACTCACGAGGAACTTCGTCTGCCACGAGGTGTCGCTTTTCTCGGACAGAACGTACTAATCGTTTCGTGGGACCAGCAGAAGGTAATCCAGCTCAATAGAGAAGGGCATCTCGAGGGCGTCGTTCTTCAGCAAGGCGTCCAGTGGCCATGGAAACTGGCAATTAGTCCAAAAGGAGATAAACTGATGCTTACACAATGCTATTATAGACTTCCGTTCAAGGACAAAAACTGCGTAAAGGTCTACAAGGTTATCCGATGATAAGTCAGGGGGACCACACAATGTCTGCTAGAAATTCTAATTTAAAGTGTTTGAATTGGTTATTTGGATAGAAAAGTCAAGAGTTATTTAATTTATATATTTAGTAAATAAAATATTAAAGAATAATATAGGGTTGAGTTAATGTTGTACCCAAAATATAAGTCAGTAATTGACACACTAGTTCACAAATTTTACAGATTTCTGTTGTGTGTGTGTGTGTGTGTGTGTGTGATACGACTAATAAACAACGCTATTTCTTTATTAATATACCACTAGATTGACAACCACACTTATATCTACTTGTATTTTATTTATTTATTTTGACAACCCTCGGTATCCAATTAAGGGATCTCTACCAGTTAGAAAATTAAGAGGCGTTGGTTCAGCGGTTCTTTATTTATTTCTTAATAAAAAGAATTTTAATCTTAACTCATGATTTTGTACACTAAGGTTTTTTTAACACTGTGTATATATTTCCTTAGCCGTACTTACACAACAATCGAGCGCCACTGATGAGTCCATTGTAGATGAAACTGTATCGGGTTAACAGACAAGATAATAATGGGTAAAAAATAATGAGAAGAACTTGCTGCTTAATTATAAGGAAAGAGAAAAATGACCAAAAAAAAATAAAAATAAATAATCTAGAAAAAGGCATACATTTTTGTACAAAAATATGAATGGATAAATGAAGACTCCCCCCTCCCCCATCCCAACCCAAACCAAACCATCATAATTTAAAAGTAAGACCTCTGTAAAAAGCGATTGTTACTCGGATGCTCCGGAGGGTAAAAAAAGTCTTGTAAAATTAGTCAGATAATTCCTGGTTTAGCAACTTGATATGATTCAAATTCAGACCCTTTGTCCATGCTCGCTTTCAAGGTAGGGCACAGCAATTTTCAGTCAAGTTTCAAGACAAAGTTTAATCTCAAAACGCTATATAATTTCAAAACGTGATTAAAGGTATTTTGATATTGGAGATGCGTTTATAGTCTATTTTCCTGTTGTTTTGGTTAATCCAGAATTAAACCTTAGCAACATGATACGTTTTAATAACCATTATTGAGAATTATCAAAAGATGGACGTGTTGGCATACAAATTATAAGAGCTACAAGCGAACAAAAGGTTTCCGACTAGTTTAAACATAGCTTTATGGTAATTAAGTGAATGAACTTTTAAGCACAGAAAGAAACCCTCATTAATTAAGTAGGTCCTAATGTTTCAGACTTCATAGTGACATATCGAGTCATGGGTAATAGTAATCTTTTCACTTCGAATTATTTTGTTTAATTATAACACATGTTGATAGATTTCGAGTTAAAAGGTAAGTGAATAATTGCATAGTTTTAGAAAAAAATCAAGATTTTATTATTATTTGAATCTACCAGTAATATGTTCTTGTATGGTGTGCAGTAAGACGTTCTGTATGGTGTACAGTAAGACGTTCTTTATGGTGTTCAGTAAGACGTTCTGTATGGTGTGCATTAAGACATTCCTAGCTTTTTTTATTTATTGATATCAGACGATATGAAAAATTGCAAGAAATCGTATTGTGATTTAAAAAAAAACTATTTTTCAAAGGATTTGAAGGGACAATTTAGTCAAAACAATTGTTGTTTTGTTTCAAAGATTAACCAAAGCGGAATATTGAAATAATAATTCGCTCTTACAAACAGTTTGGTTCAATTTTGTAAAAATAAGCGGCTAAAAAAAAACAACGCTGATATAGTCCTATCTTGCAAGACTATAATTCGACCTTATTTTTATCCGTATGAATGCTACCTTTGATTTGATCCTGAGGTTGAACTGGATTGCTTATGTGCTCAAAATGTTCAGTTATTGAACAGAAAAATATTGTCAAAATGAAAGTGAAACAAGGGAGCCGCCAGGAAGAATCATTTCGATGACAGATTGGGCGCACAAAAAATTATTCTGCATGTGCAAGTAAATCGAAGATTTACACATTTTTGTTATATATGACATGATATCAAACAGTCCTAGAAAATTAAGAAATAATTCCTTCATGTCATGCTCTATGCTCATTTTAACATGGGAAGGCATTATATTTGTCGATATTTTACACTGAGCGTTAGCCTACCCATGTTAAAATGAGCATAGAGCATGACACGAAGGAATTATTTCGATTCTAATAGGACAAATACAACATTTTTATAGGTCAAAGAGTACGAAAATACCGTAGGAATGATTGGCTATTCTCGCTTCCTCCCCATGAATTATGCACATTACATTTTCATATTTAATAAGTTTAAAAACTAATATAAATATATGATGTTTTAATAACAATATATAATAAAAGTTTTGTGCGCATGTGTCAAACATATTTTGTGCTAATAAGAACACGGCTTTGTTTACAAAGCGTTATGAGGACGTCATATTAGAAACGTCATTATATACTATTGCATGATCTTGTCTGACTATTTATTATATGCATATTTTTATATACAATAAACAATAATACAGAAAAGCACTTAAATATAAAATACCGATATTTTAAGCTACTGGTTGTGAAATAATTGACACGTTTTGCAGGGAAACGAGCATTAATAACTGAATTGAAAGAAAAACTATATATTAGAAAAATCAACTATATAAAAAGAAGATGTGGTATGATTGCCAATGAGACAACTCTTCACAAGAGACCAAATGACACAGAAATAATCAAATTAACAACTATAGGTAATCGTATGGCCTTCAACAATGAGCAAAGCTATACCGCATATTCAGCTATAAAAGGCCCCGAAATGACAGATGTAAAACAATTCAAACGAGAAAACTAAAGGCGTATATGCATTGTTTTATCAAATTAAATTTCTAAGTTATTTCCAAGTTATAAGACTTAAGTTTTAAGTTTTTTTTAATCATTATTGAAAAATTTATCAAATAAGATAAAATCGCCAATTTGGTTCATTTGAATGAAAAGTCTTAAAAAGTGCATTCCGATGTCAAAATGTGTTTATTTCAATAAAAATCTAGAACGATCGTGTTCTGCTTTGTTATGATCCAAGATGGCGGAAGACCTTTATACGACCGGAACTTGCTTCTAAGTACATTGCGTTTATTTTTGTAATGGAAGCTTCTGTATGTCTCAACATTTATAAAAAGATATTTCAACATATTAAACGCACTCGTCTAAATTCGGGCCGATTCCATTCTTACGGATTTAACCGAAGATTGCCGCTTGGTATAAAACGGTGGTAACTCACGATATTGGTTACCAAATGTTTCGTACCCGAACTCTCGTGTTGTTAATTATAAATATATACTAGTATATCAAGTGTTAAATTTATCTTTCTAATTTCTTTCTTTCTATGACAACCATACAGGACAAACAGGAAAACCTTTCATGTGTAATTAAGTATGACGAAATATGAACCGACGTGGACCGGTGTGATCACGTTTCTCCAACATTTAATATTTATATATACAGGTAAAGAATTTCTTGTTGGAGAAACGTGTTTTTTTGACATTAGGGATTAAGGGAATGTACCTTAATTTGAGTTACAGTAAATCCCGCTCAAATGAACTTTTTGATAATATATTAGTAATACCAAATGAAAAAGTCAAAATTATAAAAATATATATATTTATTGTATCAAAGAGCATTAATATCATACAAACAACAGAAGATTTTTTTTGATAAACAATATAAGCACTAATAGACAAATACTTTAGAAAATCTTGAAACGCTTTGAGTTGAGGGAAAATAATAGCATGATGCATCCAAATGAACTATCTAACAAAATAATAGTAATACCAAATGAAGGTCAAAATTAGAAAATTATATATATTTATTGTATCAAAGAGCACTAATATCATACAAAAAACAGAACCATTGATAAACAATATAAGCCTTAATAGACAAATATTCAACCAGCTATGCACAATACTTTACAAACATATTGAGTATACAATACACTTCACACTACTGCCGAATTTCCATGTGGAGGAGGAAGGTTGCTTGGTCAGCGTAGTCCTGGACGGTAAGTTCACCTTGAAGAAAGCGTTCCTTCAGTGTTGATAGTCACTCTGTTGTTGATATTTCTGTATTTCATAGTTGTTGGTCGCTGAGTCCCGCCTGCTGCTACTTGGATCTGGTTGGCTTCTGTGTTGGCTTGTGTCTTCTTTAGGTTTTCAATCAGGATGTAGATGTTTGGATGCGCATGGTTGACGTGCTTCTTGAGTTTGCTGTGCCATCCCTCTAAGTGGTTGTTGTTGCGTGGTCTTTCGTTGCTGAAATGGTTTCAGTGTTGGCGGTTGTTTCCTTCTACCCAGTACTCTGTGACATAGTCGGCGAAAGCGGTTGTGTCGATGGCGATCTCTTCAGCGTCTTCTAGTGCTGTAAACTATACATCTTCAACTAGCTCTGGTGGGACAAGGGGTAACACTGCTGCACGTCTTACTAGTAGTCGTAGGTCTTCGTTGTCTTTGTAAGCGATGGCGAGTCCAAGATTATGTGTCTTCCTCCATATCCAGTGAAGAATATATGTGGTGCTAGTTGGAGGTGGTGTTGTTGACAAGCAGTCTTTAGTAAGTTGAATAAACGGTCGTATGTCTGTTCACTTTTATTGGGTAGTAAACTGAAGACGAGTGGGTCATGACTTCATCGACCATTGCGTGTAGTGTGTAGAGTTGAAAAAATGGGTTGGAGATGTTTAGATGGTGCCATCTCCATAAATGACGTCTGCTGCTACAAGGTTGGTGAGATTGCGAGTGGTGGTAAACATCAGGATTTTTTCTGCATTGCCATCGTCTGCGAATAGGAACTGTTCCCTCGTCGTTGTCTGTGTCCATTTTCCTTCAAGGTTAACACCTATACGGGTGATCGGTAACAATAGGGTTTCTTTACTGCGGGCTCTGTAAAGTGACATGCGTTTCTTGTAATACGTAGGCAGTTTGGCGATGACATCATAATGATCTGGATTGACTTCCATATACTCTAAGCTGCGTAACTTTGCCCTTTTCTCCTCGTAAATTGTTGGTATCGGTGTGGTTTCTTTCACACAGCGTTCTCTTATTATGTTCAGTACTGCCTCAGCTTTCACCCTGATAGTACTTGGTGGGTAAGAATGGTGGTTTGCATTTTTGGTGATGGTGTCGT